TGTTTTCTTTTAGCAAACAATGTTAAAATACTAAAAAACAAACTATGAAATCCCTCTTCACTGCTCATTTTACTATGTTTTATTAACTTAATTACAAAAAAGTGGTTTTATATTCTATTCTATGTCAGAAATACACTCGAATATGTTGATATTCCCGGTCGAGACGAGACCACAACTAGACACATTAGTGTACCTTTAATGTACGTAAAATAGTATATTAACGTTGGTCTGAAGTATGTAAGTATCAGAAGGAGCAGAGATAGAGACATCGAAATTTTTAACGATGGAGCCAGTATGATAGATCGCATCGATATAAAATACCACCGATTATCAGATCTAAAATATAAGACATTGGGCTATAAATTTGTAAAACAAAGTATCTAGAGGTGTGAAATCTTGTATGCTGCACTCATCAGTGACAAAACTTATCGAAATCGGACTACTCTGACATCGATTTTTTTTTTGCAAATTTTTTCCGTTAAGTTTTAGGGCATAAAATTTGGTGCTCTAAACACGTGTATACAACTAAACATTGTCACCGAAAATCATCGAATTCGGTGAACTACCTCGTACTACCGATTCGTCCAGATATGAAGTGTTTGGTCCAAAAAGCATCGAAAAAAATAGCATGAAATGGGTTTAATGGGTTTGATAGGCAAAAAAGTTACACCACTGAATCCTCTGAAATATTTGCTGGTGTTCCACAAGGAAGTGTTTTAGGGCCCGTCTTATAATTAACTTGTACGAACGCTATTCCCACAAGCCGAAACCTCATCACATCAACTTTTGCGGAAGATACGGCAATACTTAGTGTCCATGCAAACCCCATTACAGGCAGTTACAGATGACAAGAAAATTTAAAAGTAATAAAGGAGTGGCTAACAACTTGGAGTAATGAAGTCAATGACTCTAAGTGTGTACAAGTAACATTTCCGCCAAAACAAAGACACACGTCCTTCAATCTCTATAAATGGGAGTACAATACCTCAGTAAGAATTCGTTACCTACCTGGGGGTTATATTGGATAAAATACTCAAAAACTCGAAAAACCACATGGACAAAACAATTACTCAAACCAAATTGAAAATTGCGAAATTGCATTGCATTGTAGGCTCTAAGTCGAAACTAAGTCCAGAAAACAATGTTTTACTTCTCAATAGGCTTATAAAGCCATCTTGAACGTGCGTGATACGATTTTGATGATCATCATCTAAATCTAGTCTAGATAGTATTCAAAGACTGCAGTCTAAAACCTTAAGATCAACAATTCACAACGATCTCGGGATTAAAACCGTCACCGAGGAAATAGAGAAAATGCCTAAAAATTACTCATTATGGTTATCCAACTACCACAAAGGAGAGATTCATTAAAACATTATACAAAAAAGAAAAAAAAGGGTTTATACCAGTGAGCAAAAAGTAATGTAAATTTGTTTGTAAAATGAAAAAACTTTATTTATTATTCTACATCGATATCGATAAAGTTCCTCATAAAAATCAATCAGCCGTTCGGTGGCGGCTTGGTATAAACTATAGGTATCTCCATTTTTACAAAAAAAAAAGTCAAGCCGCACCTCACAAAATGGAAGAGAAGCTCGGATGAAAGTCGCTTCAGTGGTTAGAGAGCACTAACTTCAGTTCTTTGAATTTATTTTCGTTGAATACAAATCATAATTCTGCCAGAAAAAGCTAAATTTCCAATAGTTTTCTAATATACAAGTGAAATTTCTTTATTTAATTTTATAACATATTTTTATACTCAATATTGTATACATACATAGGTATATTATACTATATATATGAACAGAGAGACATATATATATATATATAATTGAAAACATTTTTCAACTGAGTAATAGCTCTTCATAATGAGTAGCAGTCAAACTGACACAGCTAATCAGTTGAGCGCAAGTATATTACACACACACATATGCATGTATAAAAATATAAGAGAATGTTGACACCGCCTTTACTAACTCGTTATAGCCAGAAATTATTTGACTTTTCTCACAAACAAATGCGAAAATGCAACTATAATCAAGTTCCCACCGGTTGGCTTGGCAGCACTAGAGCTTGCAGCTGTTACTACGCGGCTGCTGTAAAGCGTTGAAGATTCGCATTCACTTCCGCGAAAGTTTTTCGTGTGTGGCTTGCATAATTTTCTTTATTTGGCAATTTTTTTTTTTGTATGGAATTAAGTTAATCACCATGTACTTTTTTCTCGAAAACTAGGTGTTAAAAAAAAAGATTTTTATGTAATTTTATTACTTGTCATGCATGGCGTATGAGTGATATTTAATTTTGTTCAAACGAGCACATACATACTATGTATGCGAGAAATGATTAGGCAGCAGCCATTATATGAGTTTTTGAATAAACATAAAATACTTTGAAACATTTAATTTCATTTATAAGCTGTAGAGTCTGTCCAGCTTTTACAATGGCAATCTGTTTCCGGTTATTTACTAAAGATATTTTCAAGTTAACCGCAGATGTTCAATGGATTATCTTTCTTGCCTTTTTGTGGCCCCAACGAGCCATTAGAAGAGTTACCGACACCGACGAAGTAGCCGCTACCAAAGCCCAGGGGTTAAACACACTAAAAACTGTAAATGAATGAGTATCATTAATCTCGCTTGCGCGTTCAGATACCAACATATTGCTTCCGTCAAACAAAGCGCAAGTAGTTGTATCACTGCCATAAAGACGAGTCTTTGAACTAGCTCAGAGAGCGCTGGCAAGCACCTCCAAGTGGACGGTTGACAAATTCTACTGATCCCAGTTGGGAGCTCGGAAGGCGGAATGAAATTGTTACATGATGGAGAGTTCTGATCACAAAACTTGGGATTTCACCGTACCTAGAAGGTCTAGGTATTTTGGAGAAGGAATGGAATCATCTATCTATCTATCGCTTCGGCAGCCTTAAAGCACATTTGTAGTCGAATCAACAATAGCCCGCTAGCTGTTTCTTATTTCTCTGCTGGGTATCAATTACAAATACGGAGAGAAGTGGGGTCCTATTTTTTGGCTGTTGAATATAACACTTTCAAAGCTGTAGTGCTTTCAGCCACCCAGAAATGCCGTGTTGCCGTATTTCTAGTACAGTTATGCAAAGTCGGCGGTATTCGTCAACGCCAATAGGCGACAAATCTTCTCCAAAATCTTTCTTTCGAAAATTGCCAAGGTCGGCTCAACATCTGATGTCAACGTCGAGACATCGCCATCATATAGCAGGACGGTTATGATAACCGACTTTGTTCGTCGAGAGAGGACGTCACTTTTCAGTAAATTCGATTCAAATAGCACCTGTTGGTAAGACTGATTTTGTGTTGGGTTTCAAGCCTGAAATTGCTGTTGGCATTAGTTATCTATGTCCTTAGTTTGGTATGGAACAGATCGGAGAGGTCCTTCCCGATCCAGACGAAGCTTTGGCTTTTACTTAACGACAGCTTAAGCAGCCATATACCAAATTCCGACCTAACACTTTAAATCGCTCATCATTTCCGACCTGCTACATGATGCGGAGGCGCAACATTTGATGAGTCGGCATTAGGAGTTTTCGGTAGAGAGTTTTGCTTACGATTTATGGTCTTCTACGAGTTCGTAAAGACGAATAACGCAGCCAATTTAAGGATGAGTTGTACGTGATACACAGCGACCTTGACATACGACCTTGACAGCGAATTTAGTGGCGTGGATACGCTGGCTAGATCACCTGATCGGTATGACACGCGGTTCGTATGGATAAGAGTACTCCAGCTATGAAAGTTTTCGATACAGAACCCGTTGATGGAAGCAGAAAAAGAGAAAGATCTGCATTTTGGATGCCTCAGGTACGTAAAGAGCTAGCTGTACTTGGTAATTCCATGTGGCGAAAACAACGAAAGGGCATGTCGGCCATAAGAAGCGCCATAAATCGAAAATTTTCGCGACAGTTGGGTCTTTATACCGGAACGACTCGGAGTTTTATCCAGCTAAGAATTCACACTCTCGCAACCTTGCGCTAAAACTACTTTGGAGAACATTTTTGCGACTACAAAAACAACAATAAATATCAAATAAGAAAAAGAAAGCCACACCAATAACGTCCAATCAGTTTGTCGACTGTGGGCTTTAATCTTTCATAAAAACACGCTCCAAGGAGGAGGCCTATCCTATCCCTATTTATTCATTAGGCAGAGCACACTCGGGCCACTCATCCATCTGACAATATTTTACAAAGATTCGGATGTATGCATATTTCCAGTTCGAAGCCTTGTTTTTATAGTTTCGCCACTAGATAAGCCCTCGAATCCCGCTGCTTTAAACGGGCATCCAGTATTCGAATTTCGTCATAGTCCGGTAGTGAATTGCTATTCCATCATCATCGATGGAGGATTCGGGTTTGACATCTATAGGAGTTGCACTTACACAGTTATTCCGCCGGCTGGAGAAGTGTTTTTCCCATAAGAAAGGAAATAATCTCTGAGAATAAAGGCTCAGCGTTTATTCAAGAGATGGGCTGTAGCCAAATTGTGCAAAGAAGGGACGAGCTGAACAAAATACACTTTATTAGGAATGTAGAAGGAGCTGCAATAAAGATCAGATAAGCTTGCTGGATAAGCCAATAATTTTTTCTTGATAAAGCGAAGAATTTTCGTACACAATCAGCTCCCATATGAAGAGAGTCCAGCATGAGCTGCCTATACAAACAAATATTAACAAATTTTAGACAAATTCAACTTACATCAAGTAAATGCACGTTTACACAAACATACAAAAACAATCGTCGATTAACGACCGAAATACCTTTCAAACGAACGAACGAATTTGCCAAAGAAGAATACAATGAGAGTCACCGAAAAAGTAAAAGACAAACAGATAAACCCAACCACACTAAATATACATACATATACATATATAAGAGTCATTGCAACAAGTTGTAGCGCACGAAATCGAAATTAAATATTGAAGTGTAAACAAGAAGTTGAAGCAATAAAGCATGAGCTTGGAAAACTTACCACAAACATGGCGCGACGCTTGTAATGCGCACAACCAAAGCGCAAATCCAAATCGAAATTAACGGCGTTAGGCAGCGGCAACGGGGTATGGGATGCTATCGGCATCGTCGTCGTGCTGGCAACGACGACTACATCACTGACGCCACTAGTGCTGCTTTTAATGCCACGAATGACTTGATAATCATTATCTTTAGCTTTTGCGGATTTCGCATTTGTCAGTTGTTGTTGCTGCTGTGGTTGCTGCTGCTGGTATTGTTGTTGTAGTTGTTGCGAGACATGCGCGGCAGATGGTGCACGCATTACGACATCCATTGTTGCGGGTTTTATTGATGCGAGCTTGGTTGTTGTTGTTGTTTCTATTGTTGTAGCTGCTGCTGCTGCTGTTTGTGTTATTGTCTTTGTACTGATTGCTTCAACTGGTGCATTTGTGAGTTTCAGCGCCCTTGCATGCGTTAGCGTTGGTGCAAATTTTACTCTTATTGCAGCTGTGCACTTGCATACTTCGCCACCACCAACATTACCATCACCATCATCACCGCTAACGTCGTAGTCACCATCACCATCACCATAACCAGCGGCATCACTATCATTTTTATTGTAATTTTTTAGCTCTTCATTGACTTTCGTTTCCGCCACTCTGCTTTGGCTCACATTCAAAAACAACTTTATATCGTTGTTATTGTTGCTGCTGATGCTCTTGCCCGCCGACGCTACTGCTGCTGCTGCTGCTGCAACGTCACCAATTTTAAATGATGCTGGCGTTGAGTTTGATTTGCGTAGTGTAAGCTTTGACGTTTTTGCTCTTTCGATTGCTTGTATTTTTAATGTTGTTGTTGTCGTTGTTGTTGCTGCTGTTGTTGGTGTTTCTACTCTTACTTTCGTCGCTGCGGCGTTTATGTTTATTTTCTCGCTGACCACAGCTATTTTTTCCAATTGTAAATTTAGTTTTGCTGCCGCTACAAGTTGTTGTTGTTGCTGTTGGGCGAGCTCAATGCTCTCGTTGTTCTTCTTGTTGCTGCTCTTCATGTTTTCCATTTTATTTACTTGCGCCAATTTGTCGCTGTTGTTATGCTCGTTATCATTGACGGTACTATCATCCTTATTGTTGTTATTGCAACTGCTGCTGTTGTTGTTGTTGTATTTTTTTGTCGCCTCCTCGCCTTGCTGTTGTTGTTTATTATTATATTTATTATTGTTCTTCTTGCTGCTATTGACGTTTGTACTCAAGTTATCACATTCTTCGCGTTGTTGTTGTTGTTGTTGTTGTTGTTGTTGTTGTTTCAGTTGATTGCTGTTGTTGTCGTGGTCATTGTATAGTTGTTGATTAGCATAAAGTGATGATGATTTTAAATTGATTTGATTGAGGTCCCTTGTTATGGACAACATTTTATCATTGCGGTTTTGTTGTTGTTGCTCAGTGTGTTCTTGTTGCTGTTGCTGCTGCTGCTGCCTCATATGCGTTGTCGTAGCTGTCATCAATTTATTGCGAGAATTAATAAACTTCGATGAGGCTAATTTAGCACCACTTGTTGTTGTTGTTGTTGTTGTTGTCGCTGTCGATTTTGATGTAGATTTGTTGATGTTGCTGATGTCGTTTGTGCTGTTGTTGTTATCGCTGTTATAACTGCTTGCTTGTACGTGACTGTCACTATTGCTTTTATTTCTGTTGTTGTGGCTACTACAACTGTTGTTGCTGCTGATGCCGTAGCATTTGTTGTTATTACTACTATTATTCTTATTATTGTTATTATTATTGATGTTGATGAATCTAATTGCTGCTGGCATCAATTTACTTGTATCCTCGTCGTCACTCGCACTCATCTCCTTGTCCAGTAATGTCATTGTTGCTGCTGTTTTTGTTGCAGTTGTTGGTAATGTTGTACTTTGTGCCGTTGCTCTAGAATATTCTCGGCTCGTCGATATTTTTGCCTGCTGCCAGGGATTGTTCGCAAGTGAACCGCCGTTTCCTGAGGTTGTTTGGAATGACAGGCAGTTGTTATTGCTGTTGGTGATTGTTGTATTGAAGGTGAGTGGGGTGGCGGCGACTTCGACGAAAAAGGCAAGCTCCGTTCGATGGAAGTTAGGGTCACTGTGACTGCTGGGGAATTTAGTTGTTGTATTTATGCATTTTGTTGCATTCATGACGTGAGTTTTTGTTGCAATTGTTTATGTTTGCTGCTGACATTAGTTATAAATATGTTTAGTATTTTTTTTGATTGCTTTTTTCAACTCTCTGTAATTGAAATTTTTTTTGTTTATTAATTTGTAGGGATTATTTTTTAACCATCTACGCAATTTAATTTTTTTATTTAAGCTTTTATTAATACCTTTAATTAATTTCATTCAATTTTACTTTTTTATATTATTAAATATAATTTAATTTTTTTTAGTTAAATTTTTATAATTTACTTTCTTTTTAATTTTAACTTATATTCTTTTATTGTAGTTTGTATTAATATGTTTTAATTCATTATGTTAAATTTATTTTTATTTCATTTAATTTATTTTATTTTATTGTATTATAGTTTATTTCATTTTAGTTATTTAATTTAATTTAATGTTATTTTTTAATTAAATTTTATTTCATTTCATTTAATTTTATTTCATTTAATTTTATTTAATTTTTTTTTTCATTTAATTGAAGTGAATTGAACTTAATTTAATTAAATTTTATTTAGTTTTAATTTTCTTACTTCATTTTATTTTATATTGATATGTTAAATCTGATTTAATTTTAATTTATTTGAGTTTATTTTCGTTTAATTTTATTTTATAATATTTTACTTGATTTTATTTATTTTTTATATTTAATTATTATATTTTATTTCATTCTATTTTACTTAGTTTTATTTCATTATATTTTGTTCTATTTTATCACTGTATTTTGTTTTATATAAATGATTTTAATTTTATTAATATTTATATATAATATTATATTTATATTAATTTAACTGAATTTGATTTTGTTCAATTTATTTTAGCTTAAGTTAATTTATTTGATTTTAATATGAACCAATTGAATTTAATTTAATTTAAATAAATTTAATTTTGTTTACTAATTTTTACTTCATTTTATTTTAATGTATTTTATTTTATCTTATGTTACGAAAATTGTTTTATTTTATTTTCCTTAATCTAATTTTATTTTTTTTTAGTTTATTTTATTTTAATTCACTTAATTTTATTTGATTCAGTTTTATTTTCAATTATTTTGTGCTATTTTATTTATTTTAACTTTATATGTTTTATTTTTGTTTCTGATTTATTTTACTACTTTATTTTTTTATTAAATTTTATTTTGCTTTATCTTAGTTCATATAAACGTATTATTTATTATTTATTGTAATTGTATTAAATTAATTTATTTTTTTAATTTTATTTTATTAAAATCTAATTGAATTTAATTTAGTTTACTTAAATTTTATATTATTTTATTTTATTTTAAATTTTATTTTAATGTACTTTATTTCATTTTAATTTTGCTAGTTTTTTTTTAATTTATTTAAATTTAGTTTGCTTCATTTTAGTATATTGAATTTAATTTAATTTAATTTAATTTTATTTTGAATTACATTGTTTAATTTTTTAAATTTAATTTAATATATATTATTTTTGTTTCTTAATTACTTTACTATTTTATTTTTTTATTAAAATTTATTTTGCTGTATTTTATTTTACTTTATTTTGTTTCATTTTATTTGATTTATTGTATTCAATTTAAGTTTATTATATTTAATTTAACTTAATCTCATTTAATTTAATTTTATTTCAAGCTCTTTTATTTTTTAAAATTTTTTTTTTATCTTATTGTATTTTATATTAATGCATTTTATTTTATTTGGTTTTAATTATTTTATCTAATTTAATTTTTGATTTAATTTAATTTTTTTTTAAATTTAATTAATTTATTTTTTCACTTTATTTTGTTATTATTTTTTTAAAAATAATTTTTTCGTTTTATTAGTTTTTTATTATTTTGACTTTACTTAACTTTAACTTTATTTTATTTAAATGTTTTATACTCTTTTTTTCCTTTGGTGTTTCTTTCTTATTTTTCATTTCATTTGCTTTTATTTTTTAATTTATTTTTTTCAGTTTTTTTTTTTTTAATTTAATTTAATTTAATTTCATAAATTTTATTTTGTTTTATTTTAAGTATCTTTTTTTATTTTATTTCGGTTTGTTTCTCTTTACTCTTTCGTTTATTTTCTTTTCTCTTTTATTTTGCTTTATTTTTATATTTTTTAAATTCATTTTATTTAATTTAAATTTATTTACGTTTCTTTCATTTCTCGAATTTAATTTTTTTTATCACGTATTTGAAATATCTGTATCTGTATAAGCGATTTTATATATATGAATTGGTGTTTCCTGTTTTTGTATTAATAATAAAAGATTACAATGCACAACAGCCTCAGGGTCAACTTCCACGACGGTCAGATAAATGCAAAATCAAAAACCCAAAAACAGCCAAAAACCGTTAAAGAGCCACTGACACGAGGCGCTGAACTACATGCACATATGATATATATGTAAATTTAGTATAGATGTACTCGTACACATTATTTATGTGTGCGTGTGTGTAATTTTGCACTAACACATATGCAATTTTTCAAAATCACTAACACTTTCTACGCTTTTGCTTTTGTTATTTTACCGAGTTTTCAAATTTGATTTTTTTTTACTTTTAAATTTTAATTTTTTGGCGATTTTTTTTTCTGTTTTTTTTTTTTTGTTTAATTTGAAATTGTCGGCACGTACGCCTTTCCTTTTTTGCTGTCGCTTAATGCACAATTTTCTCGTGAGTATGATTTTAGTATTGCTTGTGTTTTTGTTGTTGTAAATTTTATCACTAATGCTCAGCGACTGTTATTTCATTTTTTTCTCGGTCACTGTTGTTGTAGCTTTTGGCGCTAACTAACCATATCCACATACATATGTATATACAAAGCTAACTTATATCATAAATTTATATGTATTTATGTGTACATATATATGTATGTACATAAATATATACGTAATTGTGATGTATTTACTTGCGCAAAGCATCCTAAATTGATATTAATAAGGAGAATATTAAAATATATAAATTAAATTAAATTTAACAGTACATTTTTCAATGAACGTATTCGCATGCACACATTCATACATACATACTATATTCAGCAATTTTTATTGTTAATGAACAATCACGTCGCACAATTGACAATACGGACTTAAATATATACATATGCATGTATACATACATACATACACGTATGTACACACTTGGGGGCGTATGACGGCAAATATTTAATCAAGCATGTAAATTTGCGTGCTTTATACACATACATACATATATAAATTCGTGTAAAAATTTCGATTATTGCGTGGTGGGTGGATGTATGTGTGCAATTATTGGCTTTCTAAAAATTTTTACCTTAACATTAATTAGATCTAAGCTAATCAATATGTTTGTGTTACAATTTTAATAACTTGGTTTATGAATTGATATTCATAAGTCAATTTACCTGTTTCTAATCATTTTGAGATTCCACGTTTAAATTTACTCGAACCTTTTGTAAGTCACAAATCACATATGTACAGGGTGCTCCATCTTTTATGACGGCATTTAAACATTTAATATATTTTTGGAATAGTTTTTGAAAACAATATCAATCAAGTGGCTATCTTTACAATTACAAAATTACTCCTTTTTCCTGCGTTTGCCATTACCTTTCCGAGCATCTCACGGGGTGAAGCGCCGATTTCAGCGCGAATGTTTGCCTTGAGCTCATAATTTGTATCCGGTTGGCGTACGTCCTGCTTTTCAGATAACCCCACAAATAGAAGTGCGAGGGGGTTAAATCAGGTGATCTGGGTGGCCAGTCAATGTTGCCTCTGTTCGTAACCAGACGTCCCGGGGATTTTTGTAGTAGAAATGCAATTGTTGCGTTTGCAGTGTAGCATTGTGCACCGTCTTGTTGAAACCAGTAAACATCTACCCCTTTCTCATGCATTCGCGGCCAGACATAATGAACCAACATCCACCGATATTGATTTACAACGACAGTTTTGTTTAAAAAATATGGGCTAATGATGGTTTTTGCGCAAATCCCCAAAGAGTTATTTTCTGGTTATGCAATCGCGTTTCATGCATCTCGTGTGGATTCGCCGTTCCCCAAATGCAGCAATTTGGCTTATTAACGCTGCGAGAAAGGTTGAAAGAAGAGGCCTCGTCAGTCATTAAAATTTTCTGTCAACCATTGAAATGATTGTTTGGCCTATTCCAAGTGACGTGGACAGTCAGCCGACAATATTCTTGTGTAAATTGCACTTTATAAACTCAAATCATTTTTCAAAATCCGCCACATAGTGGTTTCACCGACGCGAAAATGCTGAGCGCGTCGACGGACGACACTGTTGGCTCTTGAGCAACACTCTCTCTCACTGCTTCAAGCAGTTTATTGGAACGTTTTGGCTTTTGATCGAAAGCATGTTGACGATGTCCCACTTCCCCGTGTTCAAAAAAATTCGACACGAAACGACGAATGCTCAGCGAACTATTGGATTTTAGTCGCGATAATATTTCCGTTATGCAGGTTTAGTTAACACAATGGAACGACTGTTTTCGATGTAAAATGTCACTATTTCAACGCGTTGCTTCAGTGTAAAGTGATCCCTGGCAAAAATTGTACTGAATTGACGTTTCGAAAACGCTCGGTTGGTAAATGTGGAAGTTATTTAGCGTTTACATACGGACATAAGAAATAGAACACCCTGTATGTATGTATTTGTGTGAAAAACGAAAATCGTCAAGCGGAACATCGTCGAAAACTATTCAATATTTTCATGTTTTGCCATTTCGAAACAGTAACGAGTCGAAACTTTTGATATTAAACTTTTGTTTAATCTTCTTTATACATAAGTCGACACACCCTGTTGTTGTCGTCGTCGTTGTTGTTGTTGTTATTGTAACTGCAAAATTATTCCTCAAAGTACTTTTTGGGGAATGTTGCGGGAGTGACAGTCCTTGGCCGGATATAAATCCGGGTCGTTCAGGTATAAAGACCCGACTTTCGCGGGAACTATTGGATTTGGATTTTAGTTGCCTCTTACGACAGGCATGCCTTACCGCGGGTAAATTCTTGAGCCTCTAACCCGCAGGGGGTGTCGACACACTCTCCATTCCTCTAAAATAGGTTGACAGATATTGGCTGTGATCAGTGAGTGACATATATACTTATAGGCTAT